CTATTAATTTTCATCAAGCCTAAATTTTAACTCGAAGTTTTACTTTGTAAGACAAATCTTGATTGCTGTGCAGGATCAAAGAGATCAATACTTGCAAAACGCCACGTTTAAAAAATCATATAGTAATTTGTACTCAAAACTTTGCCAATACAATTCTTAAATGAAATTATTATTTTTGAACCACACGACCTAGTTGAGCCACATTTGTTGTCATTTTCAGTGATAACATGTACACAAACAATTTGTTTTTGGTTTTTTAAACTTTTTTGTTTAGTTACCGAAAATACTAAAAACATCTCAATCACATCTAATCTTTAGTAAAGTCCAACAAATTCAAAGAGTCAGATTTTTATAATCATATTTATTTTTGTAGCATCGTAATTGATTTTTAAAATAATTAATGGGCCTTTCGAATAATTTTGAGACTATTCTAGGTTGGGTCCATTAATTTAAGTAGACGCAAATGAACCAATATTGAGATCTTTACGAATAAACTAAATCTGACGATAGTTGCCAAATTTTAGAATACCTCAGCAAAGCAACTGTGTTGTTGATTGCTTTAGTACATCTGAAAACAACCTTGCAGTCTAACATAGTATAAAATTTGTAAAGCAATAACTAAATAACTACCGTCTATATGTTTATTCGGAAAAAATATTTTTAATACAAGCACATACACACGCACATTTACACTAACAGTTATGAATATCATTTTCTACCCCAAAGCCTTTTATTTTTATATTTTGAAACAAAACATTTCTATTCATATAAGCCCCGAATACTTGCAGACCATATAAAAGTCTGATTAATGGCAACACTTAAAGGCGATGAGACATTGTGTTCCCTACAATACTGTAGTCGATAATACAATAGATAGCCAATCAAAAACACAGCTTTACAATATGTACAATAAAGGATGTGTAAGAAAATATCTAATCATAACATCAAAATATCAGAACATTTCTATATTTGGTTTCCTTGTATAAAAAAAAAGATCAGTGCTAAATGATTAAACTAATTTATAATACAAAGTTGATATTTATATTCACAAAAAAAAGAAATTGATTTTGTGTAATTTTATGATAATGTACTACAATTATTAGGTGTGCTGATTTCTTGTCAAAATGGGTTTCTTGCACTTTCCGTTCCTCCATTTTTTAAGAAACTAAGAACTAAATTAGAGTTTTTAAATGTGTTTTAAAATACAATTTTTACGACTTTAAAAATGAAAACAAATTTTATTCCAATCTTATACGCTAGCTAGGAGTTCTAAATCAACTATCGTTTCGTATTTGACATCTTTGGAAAGCTTGATTTCTCCGGTACTGGTAATTGTATTTTCAGTAAGCGCGGAAACACGCGATTTACAATTTACACGAAATGATATTTTCTTGGCCTATTTTGGTTACACTTTTCCGTTCTTCCCATTTCGTAGTTTTTTTAACACTAAAAGACCTATATTTAAAAAAAAATAATTAATAACTAGCCGTTTTCTGTTAGACTTAGCTCCAGTCATTTATAGTCATGTCTAAAAATAGGCTATATGTTAATGCAGAAATAAATGTTTGTTTAAAAACTTAAGAAAAAATAAAATAAAGAACAGTGCTTAAAGCTAAGCTGAAAATAGTAACATGCACAATGTTCGTGATTTGAAAAAAAACGTGCACATTACATGGCATGTACCGATTACACATTTTTTTTACAAAAATATATTAGAATTTAAAAATGTTATAATTTAAAACAAAATAAACATCAGTGACACAGCATTTTACATAAAATTGAATGCTATAGATACATGGATTGGGAACATGAAAAGCTTTCTAATTTGTAGTAGAGTGAATTTATACATTAATAAAATCTTTAGCGAACCGAATGCATTGTTGTGTATATATATATATATACATATCTAACTTAAGGCATAAATAAAACACTAAATGTAATCAGAACTAGAAAATAAGGGCCACCCCGCAAAATTCTTTTTAGCCCCCCCCCCCCATATATATATATATATATATATATATATATATATATATATATATATATATATATATATATATATAATCACGAATTACGAACATTGGATACTCATTGCTGACTTGTTCGGAATTTGAAAAAAATCAATTTAAAAAAAATCATGTCATGTGTGCAAGTGCATTAGTGTGTTTTGTGAAAATCAGTTTTAATTAATTTTTGATAGAAGCCTTCTTAACAACTAGTCGGTCAAAAAAACATAAAACATGAAAGCTTTGTATAAGTAATGGTGTCTCGTGTTATGTTTATTTTTATGTTTTTTTTTGTATTTATATTACACATTTTTAAAAATATAATTGATTTAATACATTACCTTTCATAGAATGTCATTCTTTAGTAATTACCTTATTAAAAAAATACTATTTAAGAGAAGTAATTGCTTTTTAATTTGTTTAGTACAAATCTATTAAAAGGATCACCCCTATTTGACTATTTTTTAAAAAAAAGGGAAATAAGTCAGGAAAGTGGTTTGAACATTTGCTTATCTTTGATACGTTTAATTGTATGAGAAACACTCGGCTTTCACAGTGGTTTAAAAACAAGGGGAAAAAGAATATTCAAGAGCGTGGGGTGGTGTCTATAGAATAAAGGTATTCCAACCGCAGCTACGGTAATTTTTACAAAACAACCATCAAGTCAAAAAGTGAAACAAAAATTTACTTTTTTTTTTAACTATAAAAAAAATTATTATGGTCGGCTCTGGGCACCTAAATGGCTTGCCCCCCCCCCCCCCCCCGCATTGCGGGGTCTGGCGGCACTGTAGTTCCGCTCTGAATGTAATCATAACAATAGCATAATACTCCGACTAAAAGCTAAACTGTTTTTCTTTACTCTTAAAGCAGATTGAAATGAAATCATCAATTCGGGCGTAAAAAAATTATCATCACTTATAAGCGATGGTGTACATATAATTTCCCACAACTTTTGACATTCTGTAACATTTAACGGCATGCGTGAACACGGTTCCTGTAAGCCACCACACGTTTTGTACATGTCATTTCCATACTCTCCTGTCTATGACTCAAATAAAATAGTAAAAAAAGCCAATATGTATCGGAGTTGTAACATTTAACCGTATAAATTATTATTATATATATTAAAATTATTTATTTTTTATTTTGTTCTAAATAGTGCATACGCAACAAATTAACATTAAAGTTTTAAAAAAAAATATGTCGAAAGATTTTGTTTTTAATTCGCTACACTAAACAAGCATGTTGTGTTTGGAAAAAAAATATATCAATAATAAATCACTATTTTGGAAAAAAAATATGTTTGTATACTTCCTTTGATTACTAGTTTCAAAATAATTCTTAAAAACAGTTTTCATCACTTTTTATATTATGTATGATATTTCCATTTTCAACTAAGTATTTAACTTTGTCAACGTTTGTTGTTTGGTCCAAAGTGCAGTTGCTATAGGAAAAAGAAAGAAAAGAATAGAATAATATATAAAAGCTTATATATATATATATATATATATATATATATATATATATATATATATATATATATATATATATATAATACTTACATGCATCTATATTCTTTGTGGGTAAAGTATATAGCATATTGATTGTGTATTATATAACGTAAATTGTGTGGTTGTTGTTATCTTTGAAAAATATCAATCTATATATATATAATTCTCTTCTGGGAGCCGCTAGAAAACAAGCTGCAAACGCTCTCCCTACTTCCCCACCCCTACATGGTCTTAGTGAGCTGTGTTCACTCTAAATGTTTACAAGCAGAGCCAACGATTTTAAACGTAGGAAGGGGGGGGGGGGGGGGGAGGGGGGGGGAAGGAAGGGGGGGGGGTATGGTCCTTAACGAGCTACTTATAGTGTTTTAAAGAAATATTTTCAATGGCAGCGTTGGTGCTGTCGAATTCACAAATTATGAATTACTGAAAAGTAGAAAACAAACAACTAAATAGCGGCGTATGTTATGCCGCGGGCCGGCTCGTATAATATATATCTATACTGTTTTAAATGTTTTAGATAATATTTTTTATGCGTAGTGTTGTAACTAATAGAAAATGACTTTTCCCCCATTGTTTTGAATAGTAGTTTATTGAAAATTTAGTTAATTACTTACACATATACATTGAAAACGTTTGGTACAGATTGTGTTCGACGCAGCTTGTCATCTGTACCGTTGAGTGACATGGAATGTACATCTGGTTCGCTAGTGAACAACGACCTTAATTGAGAAAATGTATGAAATAAAAAAAAAATACACAAATAGTAATAGCAGTTTTAGTGCGTACCGGCATAATAATTTGGATACAGGGTAATCCCGAATGAGAAGTCTATTGGAGAGTTAGCAGCAAGCATGGAAATCTCGACTCTACATTGTGCTTTTGTTATAAACGGGCCCTCTATTGGGTCGATGGAGTAACGTTTACATTTTTCTGTGACCTCAGCCTAATAGAAGAAATAGTGCTGTCAGCGCTACGCTAAGTCTCCTAAATATAAACAACATCAGTCAGCTTTCCATCGGGGTTGGATTGAAATAAAGGACTTCTACGGTCTCGAGACCGATACAAGAATACAAGGTTTCGGGTTTACAGTCTAGCGCCCTACCATCCGACCACGCAGCCCCATGTCTACTTTTGGTAAAAATTTTAAAACTATTGAAATTGTTTTTACGTCAATTTAAAAAATTAATTTTTATTTGTTAGGAAAACGTGTGAAAGAATAAATGACATAATATTACAAGATGTATACGTACAGAAAGCTGGTGTTGGCGTTATGTAAGTTTAATTTACTAATTGTAATAAGACAAATTTGTTTTCTATATATTAGCATTCGAGATAATTGTGGTCCTTGTTAAAGATTACCGACACAGAGGAATATTATGTGTATGTTTAATTGAGGCTCGGCGGAGCTCAATAGCGTATTTTGGGATACCAAACGAAGACATCATTGAAAATAAAAATAAAAATTCCGTGTTGAGTTATAGTGAAACTAGTTACGAAAATACACGTTTTTACATAATGTGATTGAAATATTGTCAGCCTTGATTGCATAGAAGTAAAATACATACCGATGAGTATGTAAAACATCTGATGCCTGTTTGAGGCTCATATTCAGCTGGGTGGTGTGATATTCTCTCACAGCATACGCTATGTTCATGGACTGTAGGTCATGAGTTATTCCATCTGACTGGACGACAGGTGTTATTTCAGAGGTCTGGATGTCATGGGTGGGTTTTAATTCAGCGGACTGATTAGAAGTCGACGAAGACGCTTGTGAGTGATTAGCCTGCGATATTGCAGCAGGGAGAGAACTCATATCTGGCGAACTTTCTATTGATTGAATCACTCTTGAAGGCGTGGCTGGAGACTTTATCTCAATAGTTGTAACATAGTGTGTCTTACTTCCACTAGTGATTGGTTGTTTAGGTACATTATCTGATAAACCAGGATAACATATTGTCGATTGTCTCGGTGTGTAGTTTTCTGAAACTTGAATATCATTTGTTTGATAAAGAACTAGCTATTTTTCAAACCGTATTAAGTACTGCTGGATAAATTTATGGAATGAAACAAATACAATGTCTAGACTTTGAATGAATTATCAATTATGATGTCTTCTAAACTTAATTAGACTTAGTTCTAAATGAAATGCTAATCGTCCTACATCTAGGGCCAATAATGCAACTACCTGATAAGTAAAAGCAAACTTTAGATGGTTTAGATAAATTAAAAATCCTCAAAAGATTATGTCAAGCCATTCTCTCTCTACACCCACTCATACACACATTGATATATTGTCTGACTACCTCTTGTGTTAGATGTTGGGTCTTTAGGTACATTCTCTGAGGGAGCATCACGACAATGTTGTATCGCTTGTCTAGGGTCGTAGATTTCTGAAAATTGTATATTATTTTTTAAATTAAATAGCGTACCCGTCATGCGTTGCTGCAATATCAGAAGAAAATAAAGTCAATGAGCTTCATCATGATAACATTCACATTTACATAGTTCTAATTTATTTTAAAACTTTCAATTACAGTGCTACACATGAAACTGACGGAATATTTTATAGACCGTGCATGTTTAAATGTGCGACCTTGATTTACAGAATTGAGGTTGTTAAAAGTTAACAGTAGTTATATAAATGCAAACAATGCCGGCTTTATATTTCTAGGATCGTAGTTGCTGGGCGCTGGTTTACTCTGTCGTCAGACCACCGATGGCGTGTTGTTTGAAAACCTTGGGTATAAATTGATCATCCCATTAATAATGAGGTAAATGACTCTCCTCCCCGATGCACATCTACCCCCCAATCCTGATAAAGTTAAAAAAAATACAATGTATATTAAAATATATACTTTAGCCAATGTCAGCTCGTTACATCCCTTGAAAATTAAGAATGCAGCTCTGGAATGATGTTGTTTATGCCAAATATTTGTATAGACAATCGGAAACAACCAAGTTAATATTTTTCCAAAATAATCTAAGCTGAGTTATCCTCTAAATTTTCTAGGAGTCCTTGGTGACCGAAATTCAATTATAGTAGAAACCTTCCCAGACTTACTCACAACAGCTCTTCATACAGGCACGCATCCTTTCATTTATATTTAGAGAGAGAAAGAGATAAGAGCAGACTTTGAAAGACATTACCATTACCGGAATAGTTTGTTGCATTTGAGAAAGAGAAAATCTAAGCCTTTAATTTAGTTCTTAAAGAAACTTGAACCCATGCTGTATCTCTGGCCCATTTTGTTACCACATAAACATATCTATAATACTACAAGTAAAAGCAAACATTGAATACATACCACAACACACACAAACACACACTCGCACACACACATATACACACAAATACATGTATTAAGGCAAACATAGAATCATACCCCAACACACACAAACACACGCTCGCACACACACATATACACACAAATACATGTATTAAAGCAGGCGACTATTCATTTTGTTTACCTCCAGTAAGAGAAGCATCCTGCTGGCATACTGCAGAAGTTGGCTCCACGCTTTCACCATCTTCTGATGTAGGCGATAAGTTGTTTACAGACCTGCAATAAATAAATGGACACACCTTATTTTAAAAAAAACTCGGTTTATTTACGGAAACTATCCTTTCTACTACCAAAATGTATATGACTGTGTATAGATCTAGACGTTATTTAAACTAAACAAAAATGGTGTCCAAACTGACACATTTTCAGGTAGCTGTAGTAGCCCCTCAACCGTACAGAATTATTTAAAATAGATAAACTGGGGGCCCGTGGACATTAAATGCCCGCGGGGCGGGTGGGGGGGGGGGGGGGGGGGGGTTACCCCAGGCCCGTGGTTGTATGCGGATATTTGGGGTGTGGGAGGAGGGCTACTCCATATTACGTACGTGCGTAATTTATACACAAGAACTATTGCCTGTCCACATCAGTACGGAAAAATCATTGAATAAAAATATCCTAACGCCTGCTAAGTGCAATGCCATTTTGAGAGTCTACGGGTATTCCGCTATAATCAGTTGAACATGACTTCGTTTAATATTTGGAAAAGTAAAAACCTTGGGAAATCCCGATTTTTTTGTTACGTTTAGAAAACGGACCATAGTTCTCACGGAAAAACTTTTTGACCTAAATTTTCAAAAAAATTGTGTTTAGACACACCCTTCATAGATCGCGCCTTCGTTAAACATGACCAGGGTTATTTGAACTAAACCCATAACACATAAAAAAGGCACAACTCTAATCTACAACTAATTGTGCTAAGAACTTAGAGGTTTTAGGCTTCTGACTTTATTAATACACCATATAAATCTAATCACTTTTGCCGAATTTCTAACATAATATTTATTCTTCATTCGTTTTTCTTTCCTTGTGAAACTACGTCAATGGTACTTAAAATCATGCAGGCACGAAACATTTAAATTAAAGTAAATACCAAACCTGTCATGTTTGAAACCATCTTGACATCGTGGCAGCTCTGTCTGTATTGCTGAAATTTAGATTTTAATTGCTTATCGTAAGCAATGCAAAAAAAAAAAATATTAGCTAGGTTTCACTGCAATACAATCTAGAGTCGTGTTTAACGTATCAGTAATACTGTGGTAAAGAAATTATGAGAAAATAACAATTTTTATATTTTTCTACTCAGGTTTTAATTTTAAATGCATTTTTACATATAGAGAATTTTACCGATGCTTTTTTGTGCAATACTGAATGTGATTTCAGAAACTTCTGGGCAAGTCTCATGCACTGTTCTGCTATTTAAAGAAAGGAAGTTGTATTCATTACGAGCTCTAGAAATTAATGATAAAATAAGATACATAGTTTAAAAGAAGTTGTAAACCATGAATTAAAATGATTTTTCACTTCTTTTGTTTACATCATAAATCATATAAATTTATTTTTACTACCTCTGATTGTATACGAATGTGATTAAAAAAAACCAGACACCATTTTACGAAAAGTCTAGTGAACATGTGGCATACAAATATTACCGGATAAAAAGAAATTAATTAAACAGCTTACCTGGATACCGCACCTTCACCTTCGCTTTCAATGACATCAGCGTCAGTGTTTGCAGTTTCGCTCAGCGTTAAATCGGCAATAAAATCTAGATTTCTAAAACATATACGTTAAATTAAAAATTGTTGAGAGCAGTTGAATCAACATGTGGCTGTAAGTTTCTACAAAATTTTAAACAGGATAGGAAAAAAAAAAAAATCACCGGTCCAACACCACAGGTGCGGTAGTACTGGCTGGTCCTGTAGGTTCTTGGGCTGCATAATTCTGTGGTTCCTTTACTGTAGGAAAAATTGATATAAACTAAACTATATAATCCAATACAATCAACTCTACCTTTGTTAGTCATGAAACATGTAGTAAGATTTTAATAGTAGGCCCAGTAGCGTACGCAGGGGGGAGCAGGGGGAGCGGCCGCTCCCCCTCTGGCCATTTTCAGCAAAGTGGCGCCTTTTTGGAAACTTTTTAAACTTAAAGTTTTAAACAATGATATTTGTTAAAAAAATATTTTCAGTCGGCACATCTATGTAAATCACAAGATTTCTTTTCATGCAGCAATTAAGCATTATTGTACTAGTCTAGTAGTGTCTACGTTTACAAAACGTATTAACAGCTGCATCAGTTAGCCATTCTAAAAATAAACATTACGATGCATTGCAATGTTTAAAAAGCCTCTACGGTAGTACCACTTAGCAAGAGGGGTGTTAAGTTTAAGGCAACTGAATAATGTATTTGCTTACGAATAATTGAATAAGAAAATGTTATACATAAAACTTATGTTACACATAATTACTTTATATATACAGTTTGAATCGTGTGATTAATTTAAAAAAAATTACAATACAGAAACAAATCAACTGATGTGGCACCTCTATTTAAATTTACTTATGAGCAAACAGCGTAGTGGTGGGGAAATTTTGACAAGTAGTAGTATTCTTACAGTTTGAGCGATAGTGATTACGATTACAAATGATATGAAACAGTTACAACCCCCCTCCCCACACCTCATCACCACAATTGTGTAGAGCGACATTAATGTCACACCTAGGTATACACTGGGTTGGATAATTGACCTAAAGTGACCGGACAGTGGTAAATGAAGTTGAAACCCCCCAACCCACCCCGAACTGATCTGTTAAGTACCTGTAGAGAACGCGAAATGATGTATCATAGTACCATGCCGCCAGAAAATTAGCTTTTCAAACGTAAAAATCTGTGAATATTGTTTTTGCAATTACCAGTAAAAAAGTGTGTGTAAGAATTTTTTTCTACAAGAATTACAAAAACAGAGTGTGTTACGTTCATTGTTTTTGGTTGTAGTGTATATATATGTATATATATATATATATATATATATATATATATATATATATATATATATATATATATATATATATATATATATATATATATATATATATATATATATATATATATATATATGTTTAGATTGATACCATTTTTTGTTTTGTCGCCCTACATTGTGTGTTTTTTCTTATTTCTTCAGAGTGCTACTTTCAATTTATTTTACATCATAGCGAAGTAATGACATACAGCTAGTATGTATATATATGTATATATATGTATATGTATATGTATATGTATATGTATATGTATATCTATATATATATATATATATATATATATATATATATATATATATATATATATATATATATATATGTATATATACATATATATATATATATTTAATACACGTATATAGAACGTGTTAAAAATTCGGCGCCTTTTTTTTGTGTGCTCTTTTCGCTCCCCCTACAACGAAAACCTGGATACGCCTCTGAGTAGGCCTATTACTGCAGCGTTGGTCAGTAGAGAAAGTTGTGACACAAGCGTAAGTATATTATTGCAACTGATTTGTATACTTCATTTATTAATTGAATACTTATTGCTTTTAGTTATACATGTCTCTTTTTAATGTGTTTAGTACCTTGTAGTTGTTTTGAGTTAGTTAAGCCTAAAAAACGCTATTATATGAGTATAGCCGAATTGGGCTATATCAGTGGCGATGTAGAATTAAGGATCCATAGCACCCATATATAGTGACAACCTCGATATATCACTGCAGTTTTCAATATAGCTTTGGCTTTCTCAACCTGATTCGGATCTGGTAAGACTGGGAACAGGACGGTGTGGTCGAATGGTAGAGCGTTTAACGGCTTGCCCGAATGTATACAGTTGGAATTGCGGTTTGGAATCGCAACTTCAAGGCGTCGCTGAGTCCACCCAGCTATGATGCGTACCTGGCTCACTTAGGGAAACAAAGGAGGCTGAGGATAGTGCCGACCACACTATGTATATACCGAGGTCACTGAAACAGATGAGCTCTACTTCATCTGGCCTACGTGTCTTGCACACGATCGGCAATATGTGATGGAGATTGGGAATGCAGTGCGGTCTTGTAACGAATTAAGTTTTGTGACCAAACACAGAACAATGCATTATATTGAATAACAAACGAGTGTTCCATATCCAGACTACACTAAATGACAACCTCTGTTTATTATATGCTGCTATTTGTGTAATAATTAGACACAGTGGCGTAGCGAGGTCGGGTGTCAACCGGTGCGGCACTTAATGGTGTCACCCCCAGAGGCGTAGCGACACTTCACGGGGACAAACTTTCAAATTTACGATTTGCACCCCCTCTCAAGTTTTTCTCTATATATTTTGCTATTTTTTGCCTTGGTGTCACCCCCTAAATGGTGTCACCCGATGCGGTCCACACCCCACGCTTCTCCCCTCGCTATCTGATTAGACATGTCTCCATGGTAAGGTTAAAAATAGTTTGAAATATGATTCAGAGTAAAACTGCGCTTTGTGAGGTAGTTCTTATGATTAAGAACATCTTTAGGGCTTTGAGCTTTAGATTCATTTTTAGGTATGTTTCTTTTTTTAATAACATGTATAGCTTAAAATATTGGGTAGGCCTATATGGTATACAAAGATCGAAATGATTAAAATCTACAAAAACAAATAATACAAGGTGGTATTGATGAAAATACTACAACGTAAGTATTATTTTTAGCATATTGAAAAGAGATGAAATTTGAACTTACCTTTTATTTTTTCAATACAATGCTGCTCCAGTAATTTAACAATGGCTGAATGGCTTTGCAAGTTAGCATGGTACATGGCGGTGTGACCTTTAACATCCGTGGAATTAACATCAGCATTGTAGTGTAACAATACTTCTACTGATCCGAAATGTCCGGATTTAGAAGCTAATATAAGCGCAGTTGATCCGTCATTGTTTTTAACGTTTACTTTTGCTTTTCTAATCAGAAGTAGCTTCAGGGTCTCCTCGCTACCGAAATCAGCAGCGATTATAAGTGGCGTGTTTCCAAATTTATCCGCATGGTTAATGTCAGCTCTATGGTCAAGTAAAAGTTCCACAATTTTAGGATTGTTTTTTTTGCAAGCTATTATCAGAGCCGTAATGCCAGACTTGTCACATAAATTGGGCTGTGCGCCGTATTGGATCAGCAGCCGAACAATTTTATCGTCGTCACATTCAGCGGCGAAGATGAGGGCGGTTTTACCACTTGATCCTGATTGGTTCACGTCCACCATGTGATCCAGGAGAAATTCCGCAGAGGAAAATTGTGAATTTACCACTGCGAATATCAGCGCTGTATACTGATTATTCATGTAATTTATATTTGCCTGGTGTTTCAGTAAACAATCCATTATCCTAACATGTCCTTTACTAGCAGCAAGCATAAGAGCGCTGTCTCGGTCTGAAAATTCTTCATTATTTAGAATTATCAATTGGTTGTGCTTTAATATGATATCAACAACTTCAGAATTCCCTTTGAAAGAAGACATTAACAAAGCTTTGTATAAAATTACATCTTTCGCTCTTCTCAGATGAAATCGTTTTAATAGGATTTTGACTAATATAGAATTCCCACATTCAGCTGCGATCATTAATGCATTTCTTTGATACTTGTTGAACTTATTGATCAATGCTTTAGATTTTAAAAGCAAATTGAAAACATCAACATGCCCTCCCTTTGCTGCGACCATTAATGGAGTGGTGCCTTCTCTGTCTTCAAGATTCACATCGGCTCTTTTCTTTATCAGCAGACGACACACCTTACAACAACCAGAAGACGCTGCTAAATACAAGGGCGTTCTCCCAAGCTCATCAGCACGATTGATCTCAGCTAATTTTTGTATCAACCATTTCACTGTTACATAGTGGCCACTCTTCGAAGCCAGCATTAAAGCATTTTGTTTTTTATTGTCTGTAACATGAGTGTTAGCGCCATAGTGGTACAACCGTTTTAAAATGTCAATGTAACCACGGGAAGCTGCTATCAAAAATGGAGTTTGACCTATGTTGTTCATCAAATGTAAATTTGTATCTGTGTGCACTATAAGCTCCAGAGCAAAAAAAAGGAAACCTTGTATTAAAGAAATCATCAGGGGAGTGTTTCCGTCTACATCTCTACAGTCAACAAAGGCTCCGTTACATAGCGCATAACGCATGGTATTCGAATCTCCACATTTTGCGGATGCTAATAGCATTTCCTCGCGTGAAGTCGCCATATTCATTTTTTTCTAAACAATCTGCGGATACATAAACATTCATTACAGATTGACTTATTACAGTAGCGTAGCGAGGGGGGGGGGGGGGGCGGGGGGGGGGGACATATGTCATCGGGCGCCGACCTTAGGGGTGCCAAAATGGGTTGGAAAAAGAAATTGAAAGGTTGAGGGGGGTGAAAAATGGAAAGTTTGAGGTGGGGGGGTGCAAATCGAAATCTTGAAGGAGTGGTGCAAATCAAAAAGTTTGTCCCCGGGCGCCGGGAAGGGTCGCTACGCCTCTGATTTATTAAAAACCATTTTTAAAGTTAAATACGTTATATAGCACCGCCATTCATATGAAGGAATAATTGAATGTCCAAATAATTGATTTCAAAAGTTAATGTTGAAAGAAAACTTGATAGATAATACATACCGCGAAATAATTCACCCAAAGCATCAAAATAGTTGACAAATAAATGTAAAAAAAAAAAAAAAACGTTAAAAAAACGCAGAAAAATTAATTCAATATATTGTTTCAAATGTAAGTGTAATTTGAAAGGGTCGTCGTAGTTTTATGATAGAAGTGGGTTATAAAAATCATACGTTGCTGTTTCATAATATAATGACTTTTTCTTTCTACATATATAAAACTTGGCTACAAAATATTTTGTCTACAATCTAGAATATATACTTTAGTGTAATCGTTAGCTAATGATTCTAGAGTAAATATAATAACTATTTTTTTTTAATAAAATACGTTTTAATAACAAGCTTTTATGAAATGATGCACTAAAAAGTAAAAAAATAAATTATAGACTACTATTTAAATAACTATAAAGAAAAGCGTGGGTTACTTTAGTATCTATTGGAAACCTTTTACTAATATTTAGGAAGCGACCCACGATTTTCTTTATAGTTATTAAAATAGTAGTGTATACATTTATTTTTTTACTTTTTAGTGCATTATTACATAAAAGCTGGTTATTAAAACGTTTTTTATTAAAAAATTCAGTACTTTAATTTTAAAAAAAATTACAGTAGAGTTGCATGACTAAAACGGTTCCAAGACAAATGATCTCAGGACTAATGATCGCAGGACAAATGATCTCAGGACAAGTGATCTCAAGGACAAATGATCCCAGGACAAGTGATCTCAAGGACAAGTGATCTCACGAACAAAAGATACCAGGACAAAATATAACAGGACAAATGATGTCATGGACATATGATCTCAGACAAAAATATCTCAGATTAAATATCTCACAGCAAAATTTTAATAGTGTATTATATATATATATATATATATATATATATATATATATATATATATATATATATATATATATATATATATATATATATATATATATATATATATATATATATATATACAGGCTAAAAATAAAAATATGTTTTACCTTTATATATAAGCAACTACATGCACAGAGAACATAACCATAGCTAAACCCTAATCGGCAGCTAGAGTTGCGATTACGAAACATTTAGTCATGGCTACGCGGAATAAGCTTTATTACACTGTAAGCGAATCCTTTACAATAAAAAGCAACCGATGGGATTGCGTTAGGGGGTAGTGGTAATAGCGCCCAAGTAATTTCTATATACGGGTAGGGTTGATGGTGACGTGACCCGTCAAACTGGTTTTGGGTTTGATTAAGTTTCACAGCCTGAATATATAGGCTACCACCCCTCACAACTCCCAACATTGGAATAGCCGCACATGACGTGTGTGTGTGTGTGTATACGTTCTATGATTTACATTAGCTGATATTTCGTAAGATCTTTTCTTAATATTAAATATTCATATAACTGTTTATACACATCTTTTGTATCTTAAAACATATAATTAGTTTAATATTAGGTATGGTCGTAGACTTCTCTTTCATTACCTATTTATAGAATTAATTGGAATTTCCCGCTGACAGATTTATACCGGGTACACAAATCTAAGGAACCGAGGCTCAAATTAGGTTTTGTAACAGATTTCTTGAAAAAAGTAAGCCCTCCCCCCTCCTAAATTTTTAGTGGTATCAAATATCTAATGATTATAAAGTATTTTTTTTAAATTTGTTTTCTTATACATTTATTTTGTCTGAACATAAATCAAAATTCAGGCACAAGTATGGAACACCCGATTCAGAACCAGCATAAAAAAAATATATATAATAATTTATTCACAGTTTTGATGGTAAAATGTCGGATGTATTCGATCAATGTATAATTTAAATATTATCATTTAGGCCATTGATTTAATTGAGTACCCACAAGTAACCCACATATAACGGCAACAACGTATTCACTGCCTACAACAACGTCGTATTCTTGCCATCAACGTCATACATCTTCCAACTACGACATTTTGTTCCCATCATACTTCTACAATCATTCTTGGCACATGAACCATGCACAATAAAATAAACATTACATTAATGTAAAGCAGGGCACTGAGAGCCGTGTGGTATAAGGACCCGATCAGCACCCCACCCCCACAAAAATCCCAATAAAACCACTAAATCTACTTCTGAGGTAACAACCTCTGCTGTTCTTTGATAACAGAAAAGCATAGAATTTATGTTATGTAATTTATGACCCACTTGGCCCAGCAGGGAGATGAGGAGACAGAAATTAATTCCACTGCTCCTTCCATAAAATTTCTCATCTCCATAAAAACCATTTTGTGAACTTTTTTCCAAATAGACATAACTTAATAATAACTTGTAATAAAGCTATTGAGTTTTTTTAGACCATTCTTTGTTCCTGTATTAAAGCATTGATTGCTGTACATTTAACACCAGTGATTGCAATAAAATTCTAACCTTCTAAAAAGCAAAAATTCAGACATCTGATGTTAGCCAGGTAATTTTTAAAATCGTACACATACTTATTACCCCTTAGGGACAATACAACCGACTTAGCCGCCACCTGTTTCCAACCAATCATAAAACTTCTTATCTCTCTGTGAGTAATAGGGATAACTGATTAGGGATAACTGAAATTCGGCTTTACTAACATCACTTAAAAATGAATAGAGAAGAAGCAATGCGTACTGTGCAAAGTTGTTCTCAGTCATGAGTCTATGAAACTTTCAAAACTATAATGTCATTTTGAGATGAATCATTCGGAAAACACAAAAAGATAAAGGGTTACTTCATCGGCACGAAGCGAGTTGAAAACGTTATAGACCTGGTCGAACAGGAAGATTTCACCAAGGAAACACAGCATTAGCGCAAGTATCATATGAAGTCGTATTAGAAATTGCCAAGCAAAAACAAAACCCCACACAATAGGAGAAAATCTCGCCAAACCCTGAATTAGGGATTCCAGTGCAGTAAAGATGCAACAGATATCTGTCTTATAATACTATTCAGCGTCCTTTAGAAGATATGTCCGTAGATGTTAAAGAACATATTTTGAATCAAAACAAGCTTTCAACATTGTTTGCTTTTCAAGTTGATGAATCAACAGACGCGAGTTCGTGTGCGCAGTTGCTTGTCTTTTTCTATATTCTTTCAGATGATAGCAAAGAAGAGTTGCTATTTTGTGAGGATATCATAGACAAAATAAGTATGTTTTTTGAAACTGGATGATTAAAACGTGAAAAGGTCTGTGGGATTTGTACGGATGGTGCGCCGTCTAAGTTTGGGTCAAAGTCGCGCTTTCAGAAAAAAAAATTAAAGATTTCGCTCACCATTCAAGGGGAATCAATTGCATGCAAGCGCCAGTAAGACTCTTCCGACTCCATCGCTAATAAAAGTCGTAAATTGCATTTAATCCGGAGCCCTAAAACACCATGTTAAATGAAAAATCGCTCGCACAGTTTTGGTGTAGTATGCACCATCCATACCCAACAATGACATTAATTGCCTTTTTAGTTTTAAATGTTGAGAATGACATGAGGTTGGCCTACACCCCCCCCCCCCCCCCCAATAAAAATTGCAGTTTAATTTTTCTTAAAAAATCGATATTTTTCCAAAATCTTGTCTAAACTCTGTCGAAATAAAGTACTCTAATAAATTAATATTGCAATTTATTAAAACAGTTTTCTAAAACTCGAAATAGCGTCTAAAATTCCGTTTTCTGACACTGATTTTTACTTTCTCGTATATACGAAGTATAGAGAAAGTATTGTAATCGTGCAAATAAAAAAATCTAGATTTTTACAAATCTCGACTTTTTACACCTCACTGATACGGAAAAACATAATTTTGCAATCTTGTCCGTATGTCTGTGTGTCTGTCTGTCTCTGTGTGTGTGTGTCTGTCTGTGTGTTAACACGATTACTTGAGTACCGTTACAGCTAGGTTGATGAAATTTCATATATAAGTATTTCATCAAAATTGTAGATCCGTATCAACTTTTGAGCGATTTTCGATAACCGGAAGTGGTACTTTTCCAACTTTGAATTTTTCAAAAGCCTATAACTTGAGTACTATTTCAGATAGATAAATGAAATTTCACTTGTAAGTAAAAGATCTAATTCTCTACCTTCTGTTAAATTTTGAGTAATTTCCGTTGGTCGGAAGTAGTAATTTACGCTACTTCCGATTTCTCAAAAAACTAATGTAAATTTTAAAAGTATTAATAATATTGCGCATTATTATGCACATTTTTATTTGGCGTTCACTTGGTGTGCAATTCTTTTGTCTACGAGATTTTATTCTATTTTTAAAACTTTAAGTATATAAAATGGATTAAAAAATATATCTATTGCCCGAGTTCCCATCCCCTGTTATTTTATATAAGAATATTCGAGAAAGTTTTGGGGAGTTCACTCCCGGTTTATTTATAATGCAAAAGTATGACGTCGCACCATCTGAACCCCCCCCTCCCCCTCGTCACACACCTTCACAAAATTAACGACCCCCTCCCCCCTACGAGTGTGACGTCATCTATGGACGACCCTTTACCAAAAATAATTCTAATTGAAAGTCTACGACAAAATA